TTCTTTTTATTTAGTCTTAAAATCAGCAGTATCTATTTCATATTCTTCTCTTTATACTTAGTTATATACTTTTCATAACTAAATATCATATTTAGAAATAATTATTAATATCTTATAATATCAGAATACTTATGTCTATCATAGTATATACCTATTTATCATGATGTAAAATTAGTTTAATTTTTTATTTTTTAATAATGAATTCATTCTTATCTTGCTTTTGTGATTGAAAAAAATATTCAAGTATATTAAGTTAACATGCTGCAGTTGCAATATCAATGGTATTTTTTTTAATATTTCTAAATTTACAAGAAGCTTCTCTTTAATAAATTCTTTGAATTTTAATGGAGTGATCATTTCCCTTTGAGATTGGATTCATATATAGCATTTTTTCATTATATCTTCATCATCTATTAATCATATAGTTTTTTAATATTTATCTTGATGGCTTATTAGTAAATGATTATATTGAAGCTAATAATTGGTCTAATATCAGATAGATATTGCTTTATATGATATACTTTTAATAAAAATCTGTTACGCAACTTCTATACTAGCTTTTTACTTTTCTTTTTCATTATTATTTAATCTATTCAAATATTTATAAACTATTCTCTTTTTATTATATTCAGTAATTGTTAATATTATTTGTTGTTTTTAAGTTCTTTTTTTAAAATTTTAATTCTTTCATTTAAATTATATTGATCATCTTGTTTATCATTTTATAATTTATCTAAAATCTCATCAAAGTCATCAGAAATTGAATTTTTAATTAAAAATATTGTTATTTTCTTAGTTTCTTTAGCAGCTTTGTGAAAGAATAACTGGATCTATATTTATCAAAATATGCTGATTTTTTTATTTTTCCTATAAGATAAGATCCACTTTTTTTTTCTAAATATGTATTATTTGACCAAACTAATTTAACTTCTTTTTTATTATCATTGTTCCAATTATTATTATCATTCCAATCATTATCATCATCCCAATCATTATCATCATTATCTTTTCAATCATTAATTATTTGTATTTTTTTTGCAAACCTTCCATTATTATCTTGTTCTTGTTCTTTAACATTAATTTTTCTTTTTGATAGATGGGTCATTAATGTATAATAACAGATTTAATTACAATTATCAAGAAAATTAAATGATGATTATCATGTGAAAATGCATTTAAATTTTATATATAAAATGCTAATCTCTAGTCCAAAATTTGTCTTTTTATTATATATAAAAATTTATTAAATTTTAAATCATAATAACTTAAAATTTTACATAATATTTTATAAAAGTACACCAATAAAAATATTCTATTTGTTTTAATTTATCATTTTATTGGTTTAGATTTATAATAAGTTTATTTGTTCTTAATTTATAAAGTTTAAAAGTCATATGATATTTGTGTGGTTTATAGATGATAGCCACCATATGAATATCGTTTGTTGAGCTCTGATAAAAAAAATGGTTTACAGTTGCGGATTATGAAGTATTTCACGTTATTAACTAGGAGAGTTTATAGATTATAATTTAAAACTAAGTGTATCTTTTCATCTACAATATTGAATTTATCTGCAATATTAATACGTAATTTGATATTGTCAACCATATGTGCTTCGGAAACTAGATTCCATTATCGTTATGAATAATTAACTTGGAATAAATAATTGCATATCAAAGGATATTCTCAATAATCCGAGAAATTCGGATATCGTGACTTTCATCTTGAAATATATTTATGTTGGAGTTTTCAATAAATATATAAAAATCTAACAAAAAAGTTTGTGGAGTTCTTCTGTTATATTAGTCCGGAGGTGCTAGACGGAAAAGCCATAAATTAATGCTTAGATATTTGGAATGATTGTGTATGGAGTTTCATGTACATGTACTTCCCGTATTGGACATCTATAGAGTACAATCATCCCCCTCTATAATCACACCACTCGAGACCATAAAAAAGTGTGACTATAGAGGGGTGTGCTTATAATGAGGTTTTTTTATACAATCTCATATTTATAAATACATATGATAAATGACATCAGTATGATTTATATTGACATTTTCCTTTTTTTATCTCAACACTAATAGCAGTGCGAGTTTTTATTTTTTTGTAAACGAATAGGTGACATTGCGAAGAAATGATGAAGAAAAGTGGAGTTACTAGAGACCATAATGTTCGTACCTGTATCAATCAGTTAGAATTGAAATTTATTTTGAAGTAAAAATTTTGACTCGTATAAATTGCACTCGAATGGGTTTGTTATTTTATATTCATAGGAATGCTTTTTTCTCCTCGTTCAGTTCTGTCTAATTTAAATTTATTTCTAGAGTACTGTAATACTGATAACGCAAAATATGTTCATTTATTCCCCCATAATAGACAGATCCAATAAAGTTTCAAAGATATTCGGCAGTTGGTCTGTTATCTGGAATTGGATCCTATTTTTAATAATAAATTTGCATCCGTAGACCGTACTCTATTATAAATATCAAATCTAAGATCTCTATCATGTCTTCGTTCACAGAATGGCAGTTCACCCGTTACAATCTCGCACATAATAACCATCCCAAAGCAATAAATATCTGCAGCTTTAGAACATGGCTTTTCTAGACTCATGAGGAAGTTTCCGTAGATTTCTTTATTTTTTATATCTGCTGGGTCGTTAAGTTCAAAATAAGATACATGTATAATATACTGTATTTCTAAGGTGAAAGTCACTATGCACAAGTCACGAATGAATTCTCGATAGTAATTATCCAGAAATATCCATATATAATTATGATGCTAGCGGTGATGTTGTTGTCGATTTTGGCATTCAGAAATATATTAATTCCAACTATGAAGAATTAACTTAGGAAGAAAATCAGAATGTTTATTATATATTATCAATGCTCTAAAATAATTAACGAACAAGGAACTGGGTTTTTGGTTATTCTAGAATAACTTAATCCAAAAGTAATCATCGCTGTGCTTTAGAACAATCCGAATCTATTTTTGAAAAATTCTATTGCATTAGAAAAATAATTGTTGTGCCTCAAAATTGTTTAATTTCTACCTTTGCTTTGCATTACGCAATTTCCACATAACTTCGTGTTTAACGCCATTAGATCATTTAAATTTGTTTTCTTCATGATTCCACCCGTAACAATATAGTAATGCTTTATAAATTCAATATTGGTAAATTTTCAAAAGGAATCTATTGAAATTATTTTTCTAAGTTTAGTGCATTCTCTTATTAGATTGACGTAGCTTCGTTTCCACTTGATAACGATAACTAAGTTTTATAAAGATAATTAAAACATTCAATGAGCGCATTTACTACAATTTGATTTGTGGTTTTTCTTTAAGTCATTTGTATCTTTTTATCTCATTTATATAAATTGTTAAAAAATAGGAATGAATTAAAGAATTCAATAAAAAGGCAATCTGTTATATAATTATATAAATTGATGATTCAGCATTACGTTCTTTTTGAAAAAACTCAATATATGATAAAAATTGAATCACATAGTAACAGATAAAAATCAAATACAACTCTACCAAACAATTGGTATTGTTGTTTGAAAAAATCAACATAATATTGTCAATAATTTCAGAAGGTTCTAATTCTTGTTCATCATGATAAAACTCCCAAATATAATCAAGATAATCACATACATAAAATACCATTTTAAATCAAGAATTCTATCAGATATCATTAGATAAAGGCATAAAACATAAAGTCAGTTTTGGAGTATTTGATTGTTCCTCAGATAGTTTTTTAGTAACTTCATGCTGATATAGATATGTCATATAGCAAGAATGATGTGCTTTTGAGTGTATCATCAATTTTTTAATATTCACAATCAATTGTGAATATCATCAAAATAACTAATACTTGATCACACTTCATGAATAGAGTAATAATTTATATTTAATATTAGAACTTAAAAAATAATATCAATGATATTATTCTCATCTTATCAAATATAAGATATGAGCTGGATATAAATTATGTTTTAATTGTGATATTGCTAACTTTAATATTTCATAAATAGATTTTTTCATATAAGCTGCTGAATCAGATATAATAAGATATAGTTGATCAAAAGATATTTCTCACTCAACCAATAGTCAAAGAACCAATTAACCAATCATAATATTATTAATTTGAGATAAAAAGTCAACTGAAACTAGCTTGATATAATTCTGATAATTGAAAAGTATGTTCACAATACTACATGCTTTTTTATCTGTAGTTTCATCAATAATAAGAGAAACTGTCTTTTCATAAAACTTATCTTGAAGATTTGCATAATGTTACTCAAATACATATTTCAAGTTTCACCTTCTAATAGTATCTGCCAAGAGAATAGTATCTCCTTCATTACAATATTTTTTGAAAAAGTAACAAAGTTTTTCAACTTTTTCAATTGGAATATCTACTTCTATCCAAGCCTTTACTAAATCAGTTATTATTTGCTTTTTATCCTTGACAGCAGCAATTAAAGACAGAAAAGATTGCTGATGGTCTTTACGATTTGCTGCATTATATGAGCATCATAATTCTTGATATGTCTTTGAGTTAATGTGAGCTGTAATAGTAGTCTTATTTTGCCATTAAACACTTAGATTACACATTAACTTATTTTTTTCCTCAAAAAAATCAGCTGGAAACTCTCGTGCTCGAGAGTAAACCGAAGTAGTTTTAGCGCATCCTATCGTTAAACATTCCAAGCGAAAAATTTCACGGGTCCCTGCATCATGATATTGATTTCTAGATCTCTGCATGAACAAAATGCTAATCATGTGTTCGGCAGTCATGAGTTTGGACGCCACGTGATCAGAAAATCATTTGTGTTTCACGATTTGAATTCCCTAACCCATTAAAGACAAAGTCTGGCGTATGATATTACATGTACATGCATGGACAAAGAACTGATTATCATATAGTTGCATTAGATACTTTCTCCTTTCGTTTTTTTCGTCTTTACAAGTTTTTGCTAACAAATATTATAAACATGAGTCCTGGAAAATTACATGTCATTGCCGGTAAGTTCTTGAAACAATATGTATCTAAAAAATCATATTTCTTTTTTAAATAACGATGATGTATTGTGCGTATAGTCGAAGGCAGAGATTTAGCCGATAAAGATCTCATTGGTATATTATAAAGTTACACTTTCTTTTTACCGGTACTTTTAAAGTACGATGAAATAAATTAATAATCTGAAAAAAAAAAAGGGAAAAGCGACCCATACGTTGAACTTTGGCTCGACAAGAACTACAAACAAAAAACGGGTGTCATAAAAAACAACTTGTCGCCTGTATGGAACGAAGATTTTCAGTTGTAAGTTAAAAGCTTAAAGGTATACAGTAAAAAAGATGACTTGTTTCTCATATTTTCTAATTTTTTCCGCGATAGTAATGTTGATAAGGATAAAGAGCACACACTATATATTCGTGTTAAAGATGATGGTATTCTCCTCGATAAAGAGGTAATGTGTGATGTGATAAATCAAGTTAAATGTATTCCTTATCTGATTAAATTTTGCTTAAAAGATTGGCGAAGGAAAAGTTGATCTTAAGGAAGTATATTCGCATGGTTATCTGGACACCTGGGTTAAATTACCTAAATTATTAGGTTTGAGAAGTAACGGTGAAATTCACTTGATTATTGAATACGCACGGGCCTAAAAGACACTGTTGAAATAGAGATTTCTTTTGATTCTTTGATTTATTTATTGATCTTTATCTTATCATGAATATGGATTCATGAGTATATGCTATTAGAAGTACTCAATAAAAATCACGGTTTTTTTAAGTTGCCCCAAAAAAAAACCAAACAAGAAAAAACCTGTATTGAATAAAATTATGTACATGTAGTACATTTCGTCATTGTTGATTACTTTATTTTCATAAAGATAAATCTCATGAGTTCTTTTACATTACACAAAAAAATCTTCTTTTACATGTTTAAACGATAAAACTTATTGCGGAGTGAATTCAAGGACCAAGTGAACTTGTCCATGGCTGCTTAAGCCGAGTAGTGCTGGTAATTTGTACCATTGATCTACGTAACGTGTATTGAAGACATCTTTTAGATCGATTTTAGCTTCTCCGATCTTTTGTTGTGATAAAATTAAAAGATTAAACAAATGTTATATAAATTGTGTTATATGATACGGAATGATTTATGTTGTTCACCTTGTCATCTTCAGAGATAGTATCTTTATCGAGAACTTTGATATGAAGAGTATGCTCGCCATGAATATTACTAAAAAACGATAAAAAAATTAATCTACAACATAACTGAGTTACTTAAAAGGACAAACATACAATTTGAAGTCTTCATTCCATTGTGGCTCTACAGTATTGTTTTTGACGGTAGTCTTTTGTTTGTAACCTTTTTCAATCCAAAGTTCGACGTATGGGTCACTTTTACCTACGTATTGTCAATCAATGCAAAAATTTTAACAAAGAATTATTCGGCAATTATTTTTTTTTTATATTGTAAATATTGCATACCAATCAAATCTGTGTCCTTCAAGTTTTTTGCCTCGACTATAAATTAATATTCATTGTGATGTATGTGATGAGGCGAGACCAAACAATTGCTTTTACTTCATTCTATATATGATACCTTACCAACCACAACTCTGAGTTCACCTTTATGCTTCATGTTAATGATGAGAATAATAGCAGTGAGAAGAAAGAACTATTATCATAATCTGCCCCACACATTCTATTAAATAACAATTACGTAGTGCTAATTACGCAATAATTATAGAAGATTCCAGTGAAAAAAATGAATAATATGATTTACATGTAATTAAGTGTAACCATTGAAAAATGTCGTGGTTGCTTTTAACTGGGAATTTTTCTACGTATCCCACTTTGAAGAAATATCGGTATTGTTATTATCGACTCGTTTTAACAACTATTAAGGTACATACAATTGGAAGTCGTCTTTTTGTTTGTAGCCTTTTTGAAAGGATCTACTTATTATTATGTAAGGAGTTATGATTAGTATAATGAATCAGAGAATATTTTCACAACAGTTTTGAACGTGTGAAAGGTCCGTCTTATTTCCGAAAATAAGGGGTGTCAAAATTTAAATCACACTATTGTTAAAAAAATGTTATTTGTCTGGCCTTAACATTTTCCATATGATGATAAAATTTTTAAGAAACGCCCATAACAAAAAGTAGTAATGATAAATGATTATGACGTCTTTTTTTTTACTAGTGCGAACATCTTTTAAGGATCACGTGTAATAATACATGTGCATGTAGTGTACCTTTTAATTTTGTAAATCTCAAAAAAATAAATACATGTTATGAGAAGTAGCATCCATCTACCTACCAAATGTTAATATAATTTTTAGAATTCGTATCTCAGATAAGATACAGGAATTCTTACACATATCTAGCAAATGAAATAATTTAGTTAGTTCATTTGTTTTTCTTGTTATAAAATTTGGCCGATATAGTATATTTTGGAGGATATGCGACGAGTAGAGTAGTAGAATACACAACAACGCCTTAGAAAAAGAATAAAGACACACATGTTGCTTGAAATACGAAAAAAATTTCGGCACTTACGTGGACTTTGCGATAACTTCGATATGCCTTTTCGGTCCGGTAATCTCCGATTTCATTTGTCACCAGTAGCTCATTGGTGTCTTCTGAATGAAATCATTTTGCTTTTTCGTCTTGATAGCCTCCTTGAGTGTGCTAGCAGAAACCGAAAAAGACAGATCATGTAACTGTAAAATGTTCTTAATATTTCATATCTTGCGATTTAATTGGTTTCCCTTAAAAATTACACGATCCGCCTTTTACAATATCCTTAGAACAAAAAATAGAAGAGATGCAAGAAACGATGAAAGTGAAAGAAAAATTAGGACAACCCTTATTATTGATATGCGAACATTTACCTTTGTCGCGGGAAGCGTAATGTCTACCCTCTGCTGTTGCCCACTACTTTGTATTATTTTGGTACCCTTATTTTTGCATAGCTCGCTCCTCTATTATCAACTCTCTTCCATTCTGATCTTTATGAATAGGAAAGTTGGCAAGGTGGATCATTGGTACACGCACCGGTAAATTCTTGTTGTTCCTTTGCTCGTAAAATGCAAATGCTGACTGCTAATTGAAGAGCTATCCTTAACAAAGATGAAAGGAAATAAAATCACAAAATAAATCAATTTTTGTTGTTGCGCAAACCTTACGTAAAAATATAGCAAGTATTACGCGAAAATTTTTTTGTTAGAACACAGAAAGTAGTAATTAGGGTATCCTTCCTAAATTTGGTAAACAGTATAATTTGACATTTATATTTCTAATTTTATTTTAAAAGTGCGTGGTATAACAGCTAAAAGTTATATAAACTGTGATAGTTTTTATCACGTCACGTAATTTTTTTAAATAAGCATTCGTCGCATTTTAGCCATATAGTAGAAATTAAGCAGATTTATTAGAGTTCTGCTTGATTTCTTATGATAACGATAATGGATGAGATTTGAATATTGTTTACGGATATACTTTTTCTCTTGAGGAAATTACTTGCAGATAACAAATTAGAATTTCCAGAATCATCAGGGCAGATCCATAAGAATAGGAAGGCAATCTGAGAACATCTTGGTTAAAAAAAACCACTCCGATTTTAGCTGAACATTTGGTATGTAGAGAAGTTCTTGTAAAGGAGAATATTTTAATGATCTCTTTTTCTTGATTTACCTACGTTAAAGCGGAATAGTTTTACTGATTACAAATTTTTTTACTTATGCGTGCGTTTTTTTTTTTTTAACGTAGATTTGCAAAAATATTTGGGCGTCGCGTGTTTTTTTTTTGTCCACATTATTAAATAATCATATAATGCTATTTTTGAGCGTTCGTCGTAATTTTATTAATGACATGTGAAAATTTTTTACAATAATTTGACTATTACTATGTACGATGAATATTATTTATTTACTGTGTAATCAAAGCACGTGTAACCTTATTCTGCATTAAATTGAAGAACCACGTGAACTTCACCATGGCTGCTTAAACCGAGCAGTGCTGGTAATTTGTACCATTTATCTACGTAACCCGCACTGAAGACTTCCTTTAGATCGATTTTAGTTTCTCCAATCTTGTAGCAAAAAAATTAAGATTAATAAGGTTTTATATATGTAATTGTTATAATGAGAAAGAAATGATTTTACCTTGTCAGAATCAGTAATATCTTTATCGAGAACTTTGAGATGAAGAGTATGTTGGCCCTCTTGAATGTTACTAGAAACAAAAAAAAATTAATCTATAAAAAATAACCAATTTTAACGATATTCAAGTATAAAAAAGAAACATACAATTTGAAGTCTTCTTCCCATTTTGGGTTTAAAGTACCGTCCTTGACGGTGGTCTTTTGTTTGTAGCCTTTTTCAATCCAGAGTTCAACATATGGATCACTTTTTCCTATTAATAACAATAGTATACTATCAATAATATGATATATTTGATAACTGGGTCGAAAGAAATATCTGCGTGCATACCAACAACATCCTTGTCCTTTAAATTCTTCGCTTCGACTACATAATAACAATAATGATTTGTTTAAATTTGTGGGATGGGAAACTATTAATTTGACTTTAAGAGAACAGAGTAAAAGTAACTCACCAACAATAACTTTGAGTTCACCTTTAGTCATTTTGATAGCAATAAAAAATTATCAAGATAATCGAATAATTTAATCAGAGAATTACGCACTCTTTTATATATTTTTTTCTAGTTAGAATATTCCCCTGACGTGTTAGGAAAATCTCGTTAACATGTACAACGGTTCGAACGTGAGAAAGTTAATGAACGTAATATTTACGCGCTGTGATGCAATCTGTTGGAAAATTCTAACAATGCATGCCATTCTTCCGAAAATAAGCTCGAAATGGTGAGGCGTTAAAAATTAAACAAAACACCTCACGCCGTCACGTATAACGATTAAAGAATCCACGATAGGTAATGTTTACCATTTACCAGGCGTATCATAAGATTTTTTATTTGTGTGTGTTATATTAATTATCATTTATGTCTCGTCGTCGCTATTGTTAAAAATGATCATTGTCAAAATAACGACATCCTTATTTAACCTTTATTCTTCGAATCTTTGCCATAATAATCATTTATTTCATATGATTGATTAAAAAGAAATAACGATAATACTAATAAATATTAATTATTATGATAAATAATATTTGTATAAAGAAAGCGCCCAAAAACTAACAAAGGTGGTGTAATAATAATGTTATGACGACGACGCTACTAATGTTTTGGGAAATACTCCAAAATTAAATGGATTTCTCCAGTAGCTTCTTTCGAACCTGGTTGACTGACTTGAATCCAAGTGTCTTGATAATAACTCTGATAGACAGGTTTCAAGTCAACTTCGGTTTCACCAATCTAACAAATTAAAAGTTAATCTTGTGCGTGTATGTATGTATGTACGAAATAGATGTCATAAATCTTACCTCATCGTTGCTTAATAGATCTTTATCGAGAAGACGAACATGCAAATGGTGTTCACTACCACTCAAAGGACTAGCAAGTTACATAAAAAGTATAGTTATATTAACGCTGGTATTGGCTGGGCTACAGCGATTAAAACGCCACTTACAAAATGGTTTCATACAGCCAAACTGGCGTGCTTGTATTGTTTCGTGCCTCTGTTTTATGTTTCTCGTGCCCATCGATCCAAAATTCGACAAACGGATCACCTTTTTCGTTTTTTTTTGAATAATTTATTTATGCAATTTCAATTATTGACATCTTCAAATGTTTAAATACCTTGACCTAAAAAAAAATGCAAGAAAATTTCCAATTAGTTATTTGTTCGAAATAGTATTCAGCAATCTTGAATTCTTTATTTACCAATGGCGTCTGTATCTTTAACGTTTCTTCCTTCAACTAAACGGAAATAATGGTATTAATAACAAAGAATTATATGAAACAACGTCAACATCAAAAAAGTTTGTTTCATTTCCTTCCTTTCTAATTCTAATTTCCAATTTTCACAATACAATCCGATTGTCTTTTTTTTTACTTACGAACTCGTACGTGAAGGTCTCCTTTGACCATTTTCGATGGAAAAAAATTGAATAGAAAAGATTGCACGTAACGATAACGATAATATTTACATGTTTTATGTACGAGTGTGACGTGAAAAAAAGATGATCTTTTACTTTCTAAGACTCCGCCCATTTATGGTTCTAACATGGAAGTTTCGAAATTAAACTCACTTACCCGATATATCGTTTCGGGTATGTGCGACAAAGAACAAAAACCAGTTTCATTTTCTATAAAGAATTACGTAGCTAGCTAATGTTTCAAGTATATGTATATCGTTGTCCAATGTTGGATTGTGCAAAAAAAGAAATTCCACCACCATTTTCTTAACAGAAGTTCAGGCAAACATTATCTTACTTGCATATCAGATGTCGCTGATAAGAATTTGTGAGTCGCATACATGTATTTAGAAAATAGGCTTTTATGATAATTAATTGTGAACTCTTAACGTTAACACAGTGAACGCGTTTGCATGATACAAAATTTTTCCTGCCTTTTTAATTGAATCTATATCTTTTTGCTTCTTCAGAAGTTTTTTTTTTTAATAAAGCAATTATACTAAGTCAAAACTACACTCGAAAGCAGAAGTAAGTAATCCTACCAATGCATTTATCCTCACACCGGAACGGTAACTGAATACTTTGCTTTGTTAAAGGTGTGTTCGAAAGGTAGCTTTCATGAAATTAACTTAGTATATCCGTTTCCATTTAACAAATATCGAATGATCCAAAAAAGAGCGTTATAACGAGCAATTGCTGCTCCATACCGCATTTCACCGATCCAAATGGCCCGGGGATGTGAATTAAGGAACATGAAGGAGTTTTTATTAAGAGAATACAATAATAATGAGAAACTATATCACCGGGTACGGATTACAACATGGGATAGCTTACGCGGTAAAAATACGATTTTGTCTTTGCTATGTAGATATGTATTACTGAGTTCCTGTTTTAGTGGTTGACAAAATGTCAAATAATGTATTTCTGATAAGGATTTTCAAAAATAGCAGTGTTGACATGAGATAAGGACTTGGGACAAGGCCGAGACATGACAGTACGCGTCCATGTCCGACTTACACGTCTATCAGTGAGCATATGTTAATTTCGGGCCAAAGAATTTTGGTGCCGCTAAAGGTTGGAATCGATTTTTTCCGTGTCCACCAGGCATTGCCTCTACAGTCAAAGCTCGATTTACAAATGTTTTGGTATTATAATTTCAATTCATTTCATGTAATAAATAATATGCTATTCTCATATATTTGTCTCGATAAAATACAGTATTTTACTTTACCGACAATAATCAATAAGGCATCGGGTTATGATAAAAGGACAAAATCTTTTTTTATCCAAAATCGATTTAACGATGTAGTGATTTAACATTTATTACATGTATTCTATTATAGATAATAGCATCGCAATTTTACGATATGATTGTTCAAAATCTAAAAATACAAAACGTGGTCAATTTTGAATTTTTGACCGGGCCGCACACCTTAACGGTAACACATTATATTAAAGATGATCCGTATCTTCAAAAATTGCTTCAATGTGTCTGTTCAGTAAATCTCACACAACCTGGACATTATTTTGGATTCGACGAGGCATTGGAAAGGTTTGGTGTCATATTCGCAAGCAAAATATTGGAGGAAAAGCAATAAATACTGATAAATTAAAATAATAAATAAGTTCTGCACAGTCAGAAAGAGATCGTTTGGGATTACTCTTGTCAGAGTACTTGGGTTATGATTAGAGAGGAACGAGCTGTAAACAGTCACGAAATAAATGTTTATTGAAGTTAGCCAATGAATTATATACCGCACTTTCTTTATCAGATCCTAGTACACACGAACTTTTTATAAATCTCAAGAAATGAATCCAAAAGGTTTTTCAAGAATATTTACTTGGTATAATCTTGGCATCACTCGACTTAGCACAATTCTACATCAGGATGTTTACAAAATTGATATTCGAAATACAAAAGGTCGTCGTGCACATAATGTAGTAATACACAAATTAGCAATTCCATCACCACCAAAAACACAAAAAAGAAAAAAGCGAGTTCAACAGACACAAGAACAATCAAATAGTAGTGAGAATATTTATCATCAAAAACGCCGACGCAGATTTACAACTGATGATGAAAAGAAAATACTTAAAAGTATACTAAAATATAACACCCTATCTGAGGATATAATTATTGAACTCCAAAATCATAGTGATGATTGGGACATGCAACGCGCGTTCGAAGATATTGGAATAACAATATTTCTATAGACTTGGAAGAATGAAAATAATAATGAAAATAATTAAGGAAAAAAGCGAAATTCTAACTATGTACTATAAATTTATTTTTTTCTTGACTACAATCGTTATTTGTACCAATATTTGATCTGCTAACATTAGCATTAGGCTTTGACAATAGCAAAATGGTACTTTGCGTTTACGTTAGATTTTGGGATTTGGCTTATAATTATAATAATATGGTGGTGAAATTAATTCTTTTTTTACTTTTTCTGGCTAAAACTCAGCAATGCGAAAATAAAATTTAACACTAAAACAATTTGAATTGACCGGAGATTCTTTAAAAATTATGAGTACTGTAATATATAAAAACTAATAGTTAGCTAGAGAAAGATATTAAATTTTATTTAGTTTAGCAAGGTACAACGATATACCTTGTGTTATAGGGGAAACGAACTATATAAATTTGACTTGTGTGATACAGGGACAAATTTGCAGATTATCGTTATCGATATGTCTATTAATTAAAAGATCGACGATTGCAGTCATATATGATTCTTAGTAAAATAACAAAAACAAAATTTTTTAACATATTTTATCTAATTTTTTACTTTTTGTTATTTAATTATCGTTATTACAACTGCAATATTTTTTGTTAACGTTAATATTTAACGTTAACGTTAAGCAAGCGTATCAAATTAAGGGATCGACACTCTTCAAATTTATATTGTTTACTATAGAAAACCATCACTGAGAGCCAACTTCATTTCTATGTTACAAGGTATATCGTTGTACCTTTCTAAACTAAATAAAACTTAATATCTTTCTCTAGCTAACTATTTGGTTTTATATATTATAATACTCGTAGTTTTTAAAGAATCTCCAGCCAAAGCAAACCAACTTTATGAATGCGATAATAATAATGATAGGATAACGATAACGACGACAACGACGATAAGTAAATGACATTCTTTTATAAATTTCGGTAAATAAAATCAATATATTTCAATTTCAAATTGCTTTAGCTATAATGAAAAATAATAATAAAATCTTACAAATTTTCAATAATATATAATTGGTCTTATTAAGAATCAAAAATATAATTATACGTACTATCTTTATGAAAAACACTTACTATGAACTCGCAAGGACCAGAAGTTAACGTAACAACTGATACCAATCTTAATGACATGTTATTTTTTAATAATTTCGACTATATTCCCGACGACTATGATATGGAAGATATTGAAACTATAAGCTTGGCCACCGAAAGTCTTGCATCAGAGTACCATAACAGAAAGTATTGCAAACGATACGTTGGATTTTAACATAGAAATAAATCCCTTTCTTTTGATAAGACCAGTTTTGAGAAAGCGCAAGATTTGGCAGAAGCTGATGATGATAATGATATACTTCTTTTAAAGGATCTTGATTTCGATACTGAAACAGAAAGCAATGATAATCACGTCCAATTCAAACGATGGAAATGAGTATTTCATTGAAAACATAGAAGAAAATACTAGCGCGTTCTCCAAGTTCTCCAAGTCCTCTTTTTATCAAAATAATTTTGAGACTGGCACATTTTAATATGACAACAATCATGAATTCAAAGTATATCATTACCTCTGAAACTGTTATGGATCTTGGAAAAGCATTAGGAGTTGCGACATGGCAGGCACAAATAATGTACAAAAAATAAAGCGAAACTTGAAAATCCAACATCATTAAAAGATTATCAAGCTGACTTTCCTTTATGTTTAACAAATTTTTTTAATGGGTTTATTGAAACATTGCAAAGAAAAAAACATGAAGTATTATTAAAAAGAAAGCAAAGTGGTCTTCCATTAAAGGATCTTGATACAAATCGCGTAATAAAAATATCTGTATTTCTTGTTTCTATGGTGCTAAACATTGCGTTTTCAGGTTATATAATATTAAACTATCTGCATATAAATAAAATACATAAATTTTTAAGAAATAAAAAAATGAAAAATCTCTTGATATATTAATAAAAATGCTCAAAAAAATTTAAATACAATCTAGATCCTAGATTCTAATTCTAACTTTATCTTTATTTATAAAAACTTAGTAAATACTTAAAGTTAACTTCATTATTTATGTTAATTTAAAATTTTATTTACTTAATTAAAATTATTAGATCAATTTGAACTGGTCAGATTTTATTATTTCATATTTGTTTAATAAAAAATCAAAGTCTGATTTTATAATAACACCAGAAGTTTTCTGATATTATTATCAAAATCATGAAATATTTCTGGAAATGTTTATTAAATATGTTAAATATTACTAAATATTATTAAAATCTTATTGAAATCTTTCTGAAAATATTTATTATATTTATTTGAATAATACTGGAATATTACTAAAATATTACTAGAATATTTCTGAAATATTTTTATAATTATTTCAGAATTAATTATAATTATTAAATATTTTATATAACTTAATAAAAATCATTAAAATAAAAATTTAACCTCCAGTAAAATTTTTTTATATATAATTAAAAAATAATTATATAAATAATTACTTTAATATCTGATAAATAACTTTACTTAATTAAAGCATGATGAAAGTTATTGAAAAATCTAATAAAGATTTTTATATTTGATTAAAAAATAATTATATAATAAAAAATAATTATATAACAGAAATAATGAAAATTTCAAATTTACTTTTATATTTGACAAAATAACTTAGCAAATTTTTTATATATAATTAAAAAATAATTATACTATGAACAATAATAAAAAATATCTAATTTAGCTTATAATATTCTAGTCTAGTTTTTTTGTATTTTTTATTATAATTTAAATTTAATAATATTATTTATATATTAATTTAACTTTATTGTGAATTTAAAATAATTTTATAAAAATATATAAAATAATTATATAACGAATAATTTCATAAAAACTTATAAAACTTGCTAAAAATTGATAAATAGCTACTCTTATATCTAATAAATAACTTAATATTAAGATTATATCAGAAATTAAAAAAGATTTAAATTAGTTAAGTGATAAAAATCAATTATAACTTTTATATATTAATTTTCATTATAGCTGAATTTTGATTAATTAATATAATTAATATAGGATTTTTAAACTGAAGAAAAACTGAAAAACATAAAAATCTGTTTTTTCAATTTTTAAACTAAAGAATCAGAAAACACCAAAAATCTATATTTTTTTATTTTTGAAAAATGAATAAGAATCAAAAAACAAAGAAATCCAGTTCTTCGATTTTTAAACCTGAATAATCAGAAAAAAAACCAGCTCTTTTTCGATTCTTTTCCAATTTGAAAATTGAAAAAGAACTTTATAGAACTAATACAAATCTAAAATAATTGAAATTAAAATGATTTTTTCAGATTGAAAACGGCAATTTAAACTGGAAATAAAATGTCAGATTCAGTTCAGATCAAAAATTAATCTGAACTGAATAGAGCTTTAGATATTTACTCTATATATATAATATAATTGATTCAAATTCTATTCTAAACCTAATTCTAATCAAAATATTATTAATATTTCATATTTTGTAATTTACTTCTAAAAAATAACATAATGCTAACTTTTTATCAAGTATACTCTAATTATAGCAAAAAATTATATTTTAAAAGTAAATAATCAAATTGCAAAATATAAAATGTTAATTAGAATTTTGATTGTGATTATAATTAGAATAGTGATTATAATTAGAATAGTGATTATAATAAAAAATCTATATGAATACAATACTTTCACAAGTAAAGAGTATGTGTAAATTAGCGAATTTAGTTTGCGACTAGTTAGGGAAGAATAATAAACTGATTTTCCTGTACCAATATCTATGAATATGTGCGGTTCAAGAGGAAGAATATGCATGAAGAAGCAGATTTGGTATGGATATTGGAAGAGTTTCGGCATTATTCGGGTAAGTTATTTTGGAGAGTGGAATAGTGTGGTATGTATTCCTACTAATTTTAATCGATACTTTATCTAGACTCAAAGTCTTAAACTCAATCTATCAATCAATTGATACGTTGCCCTTCTGGATCAAAGGATCTAACCAATACGTTGTCTTTTCTTGTGCAAGAACCTAGTCTTTTCTGGCATAAAGTTCCTAACCAATACATTACGATACGACGCCTTTACGAAAGTATTTATTACTTGGGAAAGAACTGTACGTAATTACTTCTTTTTTTTGAAGGAAAAATTTTTTTATTGATGGTCCAAGAACCATCCGTTATAAATATTCTAGTTAATTAACTAAAGAAATGCTAATTATTCTATATAATTTATTGCATTATCGATATTACTTTTCTAAAAGCTATATCAAAAGGCAAATAATAAAATATATTGAAATAGCATATAGAAGAAAAGTTGAGAGACGCGCTGGGCTGCAATTTCACACAGATTGAAAAATTTGCTTTAATTACGCGTTCGATTGTATTGGACCGATTGCGCTTAACAGGGGCGCAGCTGTTGATCTTCCATAAATCTTTGGAATTGGAGAAAAATTATCGTTATGTAATGGTAACAAAACATGTAATAACAGAACATAGTTCAAAACAATTCATTTTACATGTATAATGTAATCGCATCACTATGCAAATCACACAAAACAATATGGCTCATTTGCAGAAAACGGTGACCCGGGGTATTTTAAACAGTTGCTTTACGGCACATGTTTGAATTTTATCGTATGCGTATCACAATATTTTTAATTTTGAAAGTTTTGAGATTTTTTCTAGTAAAACAGCACAGCAACAAAGATTTCAAAAGGCCCTGTTTGCTAGTCGTTCGTGATGATCAACTTTCGGGAAATACTCCAAGACCAAATGAACTTCTCCAGTGCTTTCTTTGCTTTTCGGAGAACGAACAGAAACCCAACTGTCTAAAAAGTAATGTTGATAGAGTTGTGCCAAGTCAACTCTAGTTTCACCAAGCTTTAAATAAGATTAAAATTATTGTTTTTGATCAATATTATGTACATGTATAAAAGAAATAGATTTAACTCACATCATCAGAACGCAATAAATCTTTATCAAGAAGACGAATATACAAATTATTTTCATTACCGTTCAAGGGGCTACGAAGAAAAAAATAATTAACGCCTAAATTGACTAGTGCAAATCACAATTAAGAAATGCTCTCCTTACATAGTGGTTTCATGCAGCCAAACTGGTGTGTCGGTATTTTTACGTGTCTCGGTTTTTTGCTTTTCTTGTCCGTCGATCCAGAATTCGACGAAAGGATCGGCTTTTAAATACATTTTAATTTATACATGTATATTAATATGTAATACATGTAGTTCCATTTGAAATACCTTGACCTAAAAATACGATAGAATTTTATTATTGAGCTCTGACTCTAATGAAATAGTCAATTTAACACACAAATATTTACCAATAAGATCGGTTTCTTTAACATTTCTTCCTTCGACTAATAAAAAATTATGAGAATTAAACACATTCTAATATAACCTAAACAAACCCTTTTTCTTTTCCACCACATATTCATAAATAATAGAATATATTTCATATAAAAATTTTTATTTTATTTAACCACCACCATTCTATCTATCCTTTATAGTTTTTACTTACGAATTCGTACGTGAAGTGTTCCTTTTTTCATTTTCAATTGATGAGAAAAGAATCAATGAGAAGTTACATTGGGGGGGGGGGGGGGGATTTAAAATACGCGCAATAACGATAATCTTTTACTTTATAAGGAATCTCTATACAGAAACATGCTATAATCATGTTATCTTCTTGTTGATTACATTCGGTTGCATACTAAAATCACTGCATGCATGGAATGAATTTTTGAATTGTCTGGAACGTACTACATAATAAATGGATAAAATTATTTTTTTCAAAAGATATCTACGCTTTCCAATTACAATCGAGTAAAAACAGGATTTGTTTGCATAAATATTACTTCTTGCATCATATAAGCGAATAAAATCAATGTGGTAAAGAATACCGAACTTTCAAGTTTTCTACTCGGGCAATTAATCGGGGTTACGAACGAGCACACAAGTTATATTTTCATCTAAAAAATTTTGATACTTTTTCTTCCACAGATTAAGATCAAGGAAGGGGAGGTTTCGAATTGAATTTTTTCTGCGTAATATATTCCCTAATACAGCGTAAAAAACATATCATATTAACATGTTCGTCATCGTAACCATGTGTCCAAGACACGATCTCAGCATGCACCAAAATCTGCTTAAGCTCTTGACGGATAAAGTGAAAAGAGATCAAGCACACCGTGTCTCCAAAATGGATATAAATTTAGCAAGGGGCGGGCAACTGTGTTGGTCCCCTTTTCAGCAAGGTGGACGATGCAAAAGTGGAATCGCACCCGAAACCTCTAGTACCCAAAGAAGCAGAAACAGAAGGAGGAGTAGTAAATATATCTAAGTACCCGATTCATTTTCGCAGGAAGACACTGTTGGGGAATTGGCCAAGCGTATTGTTCGGGACAATCTCAGTGGAAAAGATACAAAAACCTTAGCTAGGACCTTGGCCGAATAAGCGCCTAATGCTGCCGGCTCATCCCATCTCTCTAGACTCCAAAGAGAATTGCGAAAGCTCAATGCCCCAGAAAATAATATCCGCTACAAGAATAGCTAACATAACCCGTTTCGGCTAATAAAATTCAAAAAAGGGTCGGCGCTTGTTAAAGCATTGATTATCCAGAGCATTTTGCATCTGAATCAGTTAGGGAGCGATTAAATGACTAGTAAACCTGATTCACCTCTTGCTGATTTAACCATAATGTCTTGTATACATCCTATTGAAATTAGTACCTTGTGCGTATCTGACGGGGTATGAGAAAAACCGAGGTTAAGAAGACAGTCCTCGAGTATTTAGATCAATGGAAAAAGAATGAAGAGCGAATTAGGCAACTAATTGGATTCAGGATGCAATTTCTTCTGGGAAGGTATGTGATCCTGGTAAGCCTGGAGTCAAATGGTTTAATGTCTTCCTAAAAAAAAATGACCTGCTCCCTTCTTATTTACGCAAAATGGGAACAGTATATGAAGTTGTATCCCATGAAGCTAAAAATTTATCGAATGCTATGGCTATTGCTGAGGAAGCCTTAAGACATAGCCCAGAAAATAATACTTCTGTGCAAAATTTATACTATAGTCAATTACAGGCCGAGAGGGGTGCCTTACGATCAAACAAGGCCATTTAAAATCTTTGACGGGTGAAATAAATTAATTGCGTACCCGCCTTCGGCTAATCGCCAGCCAGAGAATGAAGTAAAAATTTCAACATATTGGTCTTGTGAATTGTTTGCTTTCACCGAGCTAACTTTGTTAACGTGGATAATTTATTTTTTTTTTCAGTCAAAGATATAGCATATAGAATGCACTGTAACTGCCGCAACAATAAATTCTTTAATTTCAAAATCTTTGTAGTTAACATTATCATGCAATTACTGTATATAGTTAATAATTTGACATTATAACATTTTATATTTAGCATTGCCAAAATTTCCTTGTGATTTATAATAATGTAAAAGAACTTTAGAGACAATTAATTCTTCTTTTGATCAAACATTGTTGTAATTTGACAATGTCGAATTTCGTGAGATGTATCTAAAAGGAATGCATGAGGAAATTAATACTTATAAAAGAACTTTTTGAAGTCAGGCAGACAAGACAAGTACTTAATAGCAAAATAACATTTGTAAATTCATTTTTACTCGTTAATTATCATTGATTTGATTGTGATAGTGGAGGACCTTCACTATAAATAAGCCATACCTCGATTTTGATTTTAATTGTGTTGACAGAAACTAAGTCCAACTTTAATTATTATAGACTAAAGAAAAATAAGTCTTGTTAATTTGATTATAATAGTTCTTGGTTAGCAGAAACCATCTGAACTGTATTAGTTAAAACCCCCTTTAATCTCTTCTCTTTATATTCATCCGTGAACAAGTCACTGCAAGAGATCTTCAGAACCACAAAGAAACTCTTTATTCATAAATCATTCAGTCTAAACTCGCACAATTCTATAATTAAGCTTAATTTTTGAGTGAAAGTCATTCTTTCCATAAAGCGTGAAAGTAATAGCAATCCTTTATTTTCATCTAACCTTTGACTCACAAGCTAACGATTTTTTTGTTTTTTTAGCTTTCGAGGAATTCGAGCCAAAAAAATAAGTACAAAAGCTTCTTTTTCATTATACATTCTAACGAATATATTTTTCATCATTTAAACCGTAATTTTAACAAATTTTTTATTCCAAAATG